GGGGGGGAGGAAGAGGTGGTGAAGTGGGCATTCGCTCGTGCATTCCACCTGTGGAACTCGCTGCCGGTTCTCCAGGGTTGCCGGGAGTACCCCCGAAATGCCGCATCTGAAAAGCTACACTTCATATCCTCATTTTCGTCTCCACGTCTCCATCGAGATCATTAGCTAGTTGTCAGGGGCTATTCACGTACCAAAGCCATCTCTCATTTTGAAGTTGGCTGCTCATGATGTGACAGGGGCCGTTTCCTTCGGCGCCGTTTGGCTTGGAGAATACATTAATCCGTTACTATCTATTTCACTCATCTGGATACAGTCGGATTCGGTATGATTTCAATCCATTAAAATTCACGAGCGAACAAGTCCTTCGAGGAGAGCAGACGCGAGTTTAGGTGGCCTCTGCAGCGACACAGAATGAAACAAAATGAATATTCATGAGGAAGTTCCGTCGGAAACTAGTCCCGAGCTTTTCAGCCCTTGAAACCTGTATCGGGAAATAGGGATGTTAACGAAAACAAATAGAGACAACATTTTTGGAAAACGGTGAAGCAAGTAAATACAAAGGCATGGACTAGGAGTAATGGAGACATGAGCTTTTCGCCTCTAGATGTCTCTCGTGACAGTCTCGTATGGCTTATATTGCAGCGCTGATGTGACAGCAACACAGACCCGGTGTTTAGAACATGCTTTAGAGATTGGGCTCTTTACCAAAACGTTTTAGTGTTTCTGTCCTAGAGAGAGAAGTTTGTCCAGTTTGTCAGGGTTGGGTCGGGTGTTGGTAAGATGATCCTCAGGCCAAGACATAAAAGTAGCAGAGGCAATTTGGGTATCGATCCAATCTATCAATGCAGAACATTGCTAGTTGAATTCAAGGTGAGGCTTTTCTCTGGGCTATACTTTTCTTTACTTGGCTTGTGTCACACTAGGCTAGACCTTTACTATTTTTCTTTCACAGGCCTGAGTAATTCCAATTACTTTCCCTTTCCTCTCATGGCTTGAGTTCTACCATGCATTTCGGTCGCGAGGCTTGTCGAGTTAATTGATTGCTGACAGCGGCTCTGACAGATGAGCTTGAACTGGGATTGCTTCGGAGGTATTAGGAACTCCCTTAACTATTTAGATCTGAAGGAGGAGGACCAGCAATGATGATGCAATGATGGCAGAAGCAATTCTTGATAGGGTTTGTTTAGTCAGACTTCCGAATGAATAGAGTTGTAATAAATATGTACTATAATAGTCAGGGAAGTATATCTCAGATGAAGCAGTGAAACTTAATGAGATATACTAATTAGGATTGGCATGACACAGTACTTCTTACTGCATACTTCCCTGATGGCATAATGCACTTGGACAAAATTAGGACTGATCGCACTTGCCCCTTGAACATACTAACTCAGAATGACTTATTGTATTTCTGCATAATCGACAACAGATTTCATTGGAGAACATCACTCGGCACCAATCATCATCGTGGCAGTGCCCAATGTGCTCGCTTCTCCTTTTGCTTCGCGGTCGGCATCGGCGTCGCCAGGGGTAAAATGCTCTCATGGCCGAGACGAGCAAGGTGGCGCTGCCGCGTTCATCCTGAAAACATGCTTCGCCACAGCCATTATCCAATTTTATGACAGTTACTTACGAAGTTGTGTCGCTGTTCTTTCGAATCCATTCACCGATCGCAATAATGTCCTCGGGCGTTATCGAACGGTGTCGGCCATTACAACCCCGATGCTCTACAGCTCTTCACGCATGGATCTTGGCCATATTAACTTGGAAAGTACCGACGGGGATATTCGTCGCACCGGCAATTTCGACAACAAAGCGATATCCAAATTCCAATAATATGAGGTTATTGATCGGTTCATCGACAAACAGTTGACACTCAAATCATGCGTCATATTAAGCAGACTCAACAACAGTTTTCAACATTTGTTGCGATTACTTCCAAACATCTTCATGACCTAGAAAGTTCTGGAACAGTCACTCGAAATTCAGGAGATATACTTCGGGGAAATTGTCGCGATTAACGACAATTTTTTTTCATTCCACTGTATCATTGGTACTAATGAGATTCATTCAGAATCAAGCAATTTAATTGCGTCGCTCCGATATCAGTTTTCTTCTTGTTTAGACTTCAATTTACTTGGAAAGAGCATATCGGTAAAAATTAGTGATGGGTACATCATTTTGAATCACGCTGCATACGCAAACACCATTCGATGAGAAGGTGCATATCTCTTTTTTTCACTTTGAAAGTGAGACAAAGAGAACACACAATAAACAGCCACTCAGGATGCCGCTGCCCTCGTTCATCGCAAACTCTTTCCGGAAAAGTAATATTCCGCATGGGTTTACCATAACATTCCACCCCCACCCCCCGTTACAAGGCTACATTTGCAAGCATCCATCCAGCTGGCACCATCATTTGCACAAACATGCTTCGCAGAAGAATCATCCTCGATTTTGCACAAGGTGTCACCGAGCAGCAACACACATCGAAGACTAAACTCTAGGAAACGTGTTACCACTGTGCGAGGTGATTCAGTCATGCAATAAATAGGTCACGAGACAAAAGTAGAGTTCCGAAAGGGACTATCTATGGCAATTTAGGCTTCACATCTTTTTTGCGAATTTGTCCTTTGGAGATTTCGGTGTCGTAGCTATTGTCAAAATGCGGATCGTTCGGCATACCGCCACTGCAGTTATTATACCACATTTGGCGACGACCAATAAAGACGCTGTATCGAAGGTTGACTGTGACATACCAATATCATACCAATATCACCACAATATACCAAGACCATGAACCTTTCGCTATACCAAACCGAAACTACTCATTGGGAATCTTGTCGAATTGCACCAAAATCACCATATAGGTCACCATACTGTTCAGAACCTACAGGGGAAGAAAATGGTTCTATTCAGTTCTGACTCGTTAAGGACGAGGAGACCTTCATTAAAGAAAATGTACAGACCGAGACAAGAAGAGATCGATCCAGGAGAAACAGTCCCCTGCACAATCGGAATCTCAATGGGTTGGCATCGATGAAGTCTCGCAGAGCCTCCCACTCCTTCCGCGCATCCTGCTTCTCACATACCTCCTGCTTCTCCCACTCTTCCCGGTTCTCACATTCTTCTGGTTTGTCCCAATCCTCCATTCCTTCCCGTTGTTCTTTGCTTCCCAATTTCAGCACCTCTTCCCGGAGATCCTCTCCCTATGCCAATAGACAGTCGTAACTTTCTGTGGGGTAGCTTAAAGCAAATTATATCGTCGATCTGCATATGTTTGCCTAGGCATTATTCAGCACTTAATTAGCATGAATTATGCCAATCACTGCGGAGAGATGCAAACAGCTAAAGATTTGTTTCGTTTTATATTTCTTGCAAACTCATCCCATCTGTCTTGTCCTGAGACTGTTCATAACGTTTCATCATAACAACTTCATTTCTTTGACTTTTCAACTAATTCAATATTTGATCAGTGAGAATTAAATTACACTAGCGTACGAAAAAATGTTTGATTTGAGATGTTAGTGAGAGTTTATGAAAAAATGTTTTGTTCTAAGCGCTTCGAATACAAGAGCGTAATTGAAGGAGCGAATACTCCACAGAGGAGTGTCTCACAGGACAACAGGTTAACTCGCACCTAAATAGAACCCGTAGCAAGCGGGAATATTTTCCTACCAAAGCTGAAACTGAACACATAGAAAAAGATACTCAGATCAAGAGTTTAGAAGTGGTTCAAGCATACCAAATAACCTTTGATTTTCTTCGACGCCATGCCACTCCTTCGAAGTCTAAGCTGACTTGAAAAATAAGGAAACCATGACTTTTGACGATTCTTTTACAGCGAGTTGAACCCGAGCCCAATATTCTTTATTTCGGACAGAACTGCCGTTTCCTCACGGCATAAATGGTCCCAAACAACTTTTTGAAGGCTTTTCTAAAAAAGTTAAGAACGAACATTGAAGTAACGTGGAATGGGGCTCAATCCATATAGTAACGGCATGGTCAAAATACCGAAAATTTCGTGAATCTAACTTGAACGGAAGGCAGCTCAGGCAAAAATCTAAAATCTCTTCTACGCAATCTGAAATTTATACTCTTTTTATGGCTTAAATAAAGCTTCCAAGCATAGTTCTTAGATATTTTCACACCCTGCAGTACCTAAGCATACGTCTTCTTCGTCTATAGCGAAGAAATATTCGGAAAAAATATTGGTTCATTACGTCTAATTTTATTCTTAAACGCACCCGATTCAGGACGTGCTGGGCGGCGTTGATTAGAAGGAGGAAGCGAAGGACGTAGAAAAATGAGGCGAAAGAGGAGCAGAAAATCCCAGCTGCCTTATTCCTCAAGTGGGATCGGAGCAGCGAGACGACGTGGTAGACCTCCGAGAAGGTCAAGAAGAAGGCTTGTAGAAGGCTGATGGCGAGGGGGAGGCCGAAGATGTCACATGCCACCCGCACGTCCGCTCGGATCTTTAGGTATCGTGTCCTGTTGTTTGATGAAATTCGTTAGAAATTTCATTTAACAATTTTTTTCTCGTTTAATCGAGAAGTTAAAAGCCTGGTAAATTTGATTCACCAGGCTTTTAACTACTATAATTTAACTATGTTTTCCTTCGCACTACAACTACAAAAAAATTAACTTACTTGACCAGACCGGAATGGGGCGCTGCCGACAGCACCTGCCCGATCAACTCCTCCAAACATCTCCCAATGTGCAGACAGCAGGCGAAAAACACGATATCGTACACCACGAAAGGCGGGGCCTCAAGGTTGAACCGGACCAGCGCCCACGACACGCTGACATTGGTTAAGGTCAGCGCGTACGAGGTGATGTAGATGACGACAGCGAGGAGGAACGCTAAAAGGGGCAGGTGCCTTCGCCGGCCGAGGGAGGCGGGTGCATCGGCCTGGAACCGTCGGATGAGGTCTGCGAGGCACCTGCCGCGGTAGCCGGCGTATATCACATTGAAAACTATGGAGGCTTGGAGGGTGTAGATCTGCAGGGTCACGATGGATTGCTGGAGGGAGCCGGAGCTGAAGACGTCGCCGATCCCGATCATCAATTCGGTCGGGGATGCGAAGATCGCCAGGCGGAAGCCCAGCAATACGAGGGCCAGCCCGAACGGGAAACTCATCAGACGAAACCGAGGCTGTTCCTCTTTCGGGGAGATTCCTGAGATGATTCCGGATAAAGGAAGGGATCCTGACAGGACCAGAATCCCCAAGACCACCCGATTCTCACTGAGAAACGCCATCACATCCTCCCTCCGACTAATAACTTTCCTTTCCGAGTTCATCAGAATCAAATATTCACGACGAAGTTGAACGTCAAATGACAGAGAATCGTTAAAAAAATCATCACTTCTAAAACCGGGCGAGGCCCTTCATTATTCAAATATGCTTGTTCAAATAGTTTCTGATCCATTAGTTCCATCGCTTATCATCGCGATTATCCTGAACGTCAATAAACATTTTAATCTCATTGACCGGTCAGGTTCATGAACCTAATGCCCCATCAATGCAATTTTGTTTGGTAATTGGGATAAACTATTGATTTTATTAAGGAAATTATTCGTAATTATTTACTCACGTAGTTGTCATGAGCTACTAAAGTCCCGGTAACACCTTTGTACATGTAAGGACCAAGTACCAGGGCCCTGGAAGTACGGTGTTAGTTCAGTTTATCCTAAAAGTATCTCCTAAAATGGGCCAGTTTAAATTAATTATTCAAATTTGTCTCATATTGTGCACTTCTGGTATGCTAAACAACTTCCATGGCCCAGGATTACCTGTCCCTTCGTTATCACGACTGTTTGCTTCAATTCCAAGTTTTTGATGCATTAGTTCCATCGCTTATCATCGCGATTATCCTGAACGTCAATAAACATTTTAATCTCATTGACCGGTCAGGTTCATGAACCCAATGCCCCGAAAGTGAGACACAGTAAACACACAATAAACCTCCACTCAGGATACCGCTGCCCTCGTTCATCGCAAACTCTTTTAGGAAAAATTACATTTTCCTCTTGGGTTTACCATAGCATTCTCTCCTCCACCCCCGTTAAAACGCTCCACTTGAAAGCAACCATCCTGCTGACACCATCATTGCCGTAAACATGCTTATTCGCAAATAAATTATCCTCGATTTTGCAAAAGTGTCATCGAGCCGCAACACACATCGAAGACTAAACTCAGGGAAATGTGTTACCACTGTGCGAGGTGATTCAGTCATAGAATAGATAGTTCATAATGCAAAAGTGGAGAGCCTAATGGGAATAAAGAAGGCAAATTAGGCTTCACATCTTTTTGCGAATTTGTCCTTCGGAGATTTCGGAGTCATAACTAGTATCATAATATGGTTCTTTCGACATACCGCTACTGGAGTATTTACACCACATTTGACGACGACCAATAAAGACACTGTATCGAAGGTTGACTGTTATACCTATATCACCAAAATATACCAAGACCATGGAACTTTCGCTATACCACACCGAAACTACTCATTGGGATCCTTGTCGAATTGCACCAAAATCACCATATATGTCACCATACTGTTCAGAACCTACAGGGGAAGAAAATGGTCCTATTCAGTTCTGACTCGTTAAGGACGAAGAGACCTTCATTAAAGAAAATGTACAGACCGAGACAAGAAGAGATCGATCCAGGAGAAGCAGACCCCTGCACAATCGGAATCTCAATGGGTTGGCATCGATGAAGTCTCGCAGAGCCTCCCACTCTTTCTGCGCATCCTGCTTCTCCCATACCTCCTGCTTCTCCCACTCATCCTGGTTCTTCCTTTCTATTGGTTTGTCCCAATCCTCCATTCCTTCCCGTTGCTCTTTGCTTCCCAATTTGAGCACCTCTTCCCGGAGATCCTCACCCTATACAAATAGGCAGTCCTAACTTTCTGTTGCGGAGTTTAAAGGAAATTATATCTTTGACCTTCATATGTTTGCCTAGGACTTATTCAGCCCTTAATTAACATGAATTATGCCTTTCAGCAGAGATGCAAACAGCTAAAGATTTGTTTCGTTTCATATTTCTTGCAAACTCATTCTATTCGTCTGGTCCTGAGACAGTGTATAACGTATTGTTGACAATGGTTTCATACAGTCTTCATTTCGTTGTCTTTTCAACCGATACATGATTTGGTCAGTGAGAAACAAATTATACTAGCGTACGAAAAGATGCGAGATTCGAGATGCGAGTGAGATTTCTCGAAAAAATAGTTTTTGCTCTAAGCACTCCGAATACAAGAACGTAATTGAAGGAGCCAATACCAAAGAGACGAGTGTCTCACAGGACAACGGGTCTACATTCAGCTAAATAGAACCATCAGCAAGCTGGAAAATGTTCCAACCATAGCTCAAACTGAACACACAGAAAATAAACTCAGAACAAGAGTTTAGTAGTGGATCAAGCATCTAATATATATAGACGATCGTGACTGACTGACTGGCTGACTGACTGACTGACGCTAATTCTAACCATGTTCCAGAAGAGTTAGAAATCTGAAACTTGGTACACATGTTGACTGAGAGATTGCAGTCTCTGTTGACATGCGTCGCGTTGACTTTCCAGGCGATTGAGAAATCTTATTGCTGACCATAACAATATTTTCCTCAGAACGACCTGTCCTTGGGCGTCCAGAGCGGGGAAGGTCAGCGACTGTGCCTGTTTTGTCAAAGTTCGAGTTGATACGGACGATCGAATTCCGGCTGACTTAGAAATTCAATGGCTCCATTGAATTTCCTCTTGAATTGTCGAACGGTTTCCGCAGCGTTCTGGTCGAATTTGGAATAAAGGCGAACAATTGCAACTCGCATATAACACTCAGTCGTTTCTCGCTCATTCTCCCGTAAGTGTTCCAGGGATATCAATCACAAAGGACATAGTTCATCAGACACTCAATCAAACCCAGCACGCAGACGTGGTTTCAAGTATAAACGCGTTTAAATACCAAAATAGATATTTGATTTACCTCCTCCCAATTGTTAAATAATGAACATAATAAAATGAAATCCTGCTCACAGATAGAGATTTGTCTTGTCTTTCGAATGGTGCAAACCGCATTTTAATCCGATCAGGCATTCCAAAGTTATTAACATTCAAAGAGCGGAGGGGACTTTTGACTCACCCTGTATATCGTGATGGATAAGGATGTCATCGAAAGCTTACACCGTGTGTCTCCGTTTCGGTGGTGTAGTGGTAGCACATCGGACCGGTAATCGTGAGAGCAGGGTTCAATTCCCCGCCATTAGTTGCATTTTTTTTATCTTCTCTTGCCTTCCATGTCCCGTTGGACATGGAAAGCGTGAACGTGGCATGGACGTGCATACCGACACGATGAGATAAGGAAAAATGCAAAAATTTTCATCCATCCCCTGCGGGCATGGATCCAGCAAAACGGAGGGTGCAGGAAAGTTTAAACTTGGCAAAGAAGTACCTGATGAAGAGCTGAGTAAAGAAGCAATTCTACTTTCATCTAATATATATAGAAGATCGTGACTGACTGACTGACTGACGCTACTTCTAACCATGTTCTAGAAGGGTTAGATACCTGAAAATTGGTACACATGTACCTTTTGGGATGCAGAGTTCAGAAAANGCTAATTCTAACCATGTTCTAGAAGGGTTAGATACCTGAAAATTGGTACACATGTACCTTTTGGGATGCAGAGTTCAGAAAAAATCCGACTTTGGAGGTACATGCCCTGGGGGTACAAATTTGGGGAGGGGAAACGTTTTTCTTCAATATATTATGTGACAGATGAGGATGGCATTCAGAGAGTCTGCTAGACATGCTGGGATCGTTGGTGTAGTAGCAGCATTTCTGACTGGCAATTAGAAAGTCCGGGTTCAATTCCCGCTCATTCCTTGGCTTTCTTTGGGCTTTTATTGTCTTCCATGTCCCGTCACTCATTCCCCCACCATAACATTACTTTTTCTTAAGTGAAACGGAGAGTCATGGAAAGCTGAAACTTGGTATGGACGTGTATAATGAGGCGAAGAGTTCAGGAAAAATGCAAAATTTTAGATTCATGACCTGGGGGCATATTTTTGGGAGCCGACGTTTTCAAGTACTTTTTTTTCCTGGTGTATGAAGCGGAGTGGAAAGATGAAACTTGGTACGTAACTACCTATTGGGATGCTGCAGAAAACTTCAGACATTAGAAGTAAATGCCCTGCAGGCACAAATTTCAAAGGGAGATGTTTTCAACTACTTTTTTTGCATCTGGTAATCTGACGAACGTTGAAAGCTGAAACTTTGCATGAATGTGGCTACTGAGACAAAGAGTTAAATAAAAATGTTAAATCTCGATACATCCAATGGGGGAATTTTTTTCGAGGTGCGATGTTTTGAAAAAGAAATTGGCATAGCGAATTGGAAAGAAATGGGAAGGTGAAACTTGGCACACATATAATGACATGATATTACTGAGCTGTGAGAGTATTCAGCTTTCATGGTGCATCCCATTCAGGCAAAGCTTTTGGGTGGGTCGGCTTTACGAAGCATGTTTTTTCACCAGCGAAAAGGGCAATTGTATAATATTGAAACTTTGGGGACATGTAGCTCACTGGGCGGACATAGAAAAGTACCTGGCGCACGCATCACTTACGTGATATTGATTTAAGGAAAAATTAAACTTCATTTATACGTCTCCTCAGAGCACAGCATTTGGATGGGTCGATTTCCCAAATACATTTTTTCCATGCAGCAAAAAGGGGAAACGAATAAGGCTGACATTGGGTGGCATGGAGATCCCTGAGTCTACATTTCAAAAGAAAAAAAAATTTCGTTAAAACCTATTAGTGCACTTTTTTCAGTCCCATTTTCCTGATTTTTTTTGATCCAACGAAACAGAGACAGAAGATTTAAACTTCCCTCAGAAGTACTTGTTGGATGGCTGAGTAGAGGAAAAAATCATACTTTTGAAATATGTCTCCTTAGCGTAGATTATTGGAAGGAAGTTTTTCAAAAAGTTAGGCACACAGAATCATAGAGATAATGACTTTGATTTAAAAAATCAAGACATTCGACCCCATATTTCACGTATTTCAATGGGGACGTACATTAAATACGTGTTTCCCATTTCGCAAAAAATAAATGAATTAATCACTCTCCAAGGGAAGGGAGCGCTGAAGGCGCGACCATAGCGAGTTTGTTTGCCCGAAGGGCAAACAAACTCAATAGTAACAAATAATCTTGATTTTCCCCGACTCCATGCCACTCATTTGAAGTCTAAGCAGATTTGATCAATAAGGAAACCGTGACTTTTCACGATTCTTCTAC